AATAACAACTTTGAAATAAATCAGTTTAGACTATCTACCCAAATAATAGTGGACAAGACTTATCTACTAATTATGCGATAAATATTTCTGAAAGTAAGTATCTTAATTAACTGTAGTAATTAAAATATGGTAATCCTAACAAGCTGGGAAAACTACCCTTTACTTAGGCATACATATCGCGATAATTATTATGCCGTTCATTGAGCATAAGCCATGCTGCAGGCATCCAAAGTTCAATCAGTTTTGTTGATAAATGATTTACATTCTTGAACGAGTCACGTTTCATTTATTACCGCGTGAACTGGGAAAGTTACTTTTCATTTAAGCACGCGTTCAGTAAAGGGCCACGTTTATCACCCGTGTCGCAATAATTATTATTATTTCTAATGAGCATAGGCCACGCTGTAGGAATGCGAAGTGGAGCCTACGGGTTCGTACAGTCCTCTCGACTCTCGACGCGTCTCCCTTTCTCCTTTCTCCGTTGATTCTCTCGTCCGTATGTCGTTCCTCGTCCCTCCTATGTTCGAACGCATTCGGCTTCCTCGTCTGGGTAACGCGGTGGTGCAGGTCGAAACTCCCGGCCACATAACCGCGCTCTCCTCCTTTTCAGGGTTTCCCAATCCTTCGAATTCTACGGATCCACCGACTATATCCTCGCATTACACGAATTGCCCATTTACTATTTACAAGCATTTCCCAGATAAATAGCAATCCGAATAATCATTTTAAATGATCTCGAAAATTATAATCATTTCATCAAATACTCAATTAAAAGATTATGGTGTATCCATGTGATAAGACAAGTTTCGTTTTCTTTTTATTTCTTATAGTAGAATTTAAAAACGGTAATTTTACCGTTGATAATACGTTTAGTGTTAAGATGTTGGGAAATGTTGCTGAAGGTTGGGAAACGCTGGGATTGTTGCCTGTGTAAAAGGTAGTCTTTCTTTTTGCCTTTGCCCCGACTCGGCGTAGCACGGTGCCGGCGTACTCGGGCCCAGGGCTGTACGACGAGGGGCAGCGTGCGCGTCGTTGCGAAGGGAAAAGGGCGCTTGGGTATAGTATAGAGTTATATGAAGTGCATGCAGGGCTAGGGATCTACGTTGCGCACCGGCTACCGACGCGTCGCTACCGCGGAAAGAAACTTAATGAATGGCAGCGATCATCGAACTCCGTACACCAGCAAATGTTTTTAACGTAACTTTAATTATCCACAATCTTGTGGAAGTCCAAACAAGATCCAATACAAGAGAAGATAGAAATTCTACTTTGTAGGAAAAGTCGAGCGGCTCTCTAAGTCTAAAGATTAAAGAAGAAGACAGAAGAAGTAAGGGAGGATTACGCTCCATCTTTGCCGAAAACACTTCCAAATAGAGACGACCATACAGGACATAACAAGAAAACCGAAAAGAGGAACCTTACAGTTCCCTTCGAACATTTGTGTGAGACAAAGGAAATAAAACTTAGTTTTGTCACCCGCTTCAACCTTTTACAATCGTGATTAGTCACGCAATTAACCAATTCAACAAGTCTGGTTTGTCAAAGTCGACTTTCGTTCAGGCAAGAATTGTCAATTTTTATTGTACGAGTTTAACGGAGCGAGCATCGGCGTGTCCATCAGCGACGAAAAACTGAAAGGTTCGCGGCTAATCGCGCTTAATCGCGCGTCATTTGATCTAATTGAGATCGTCGGTGCACGGGGATTTGGCCCTGACATCTATTACCACCATCATACGCCAGTAGGTAGTACCTATCTTCTGGTGAGGAACTGCAACTGCGCTCCGGGAGCTGCACGAATCCGCTTTCGTGTTCGTGATCGTGGCGGCTGCACGACGACCACCAGGCTTCTCCTCCGTATGCGTGTGTACCCTCCGGCAAACCAGATTCGACGTTTAGTTCGTCTTCCCACGAACCCTTCGCTATACGTACGAGTCTCGTTACTCGTTCCGGGATCAGGAAACACTCCTATTAAGGCCGTTTTGCACGAGAAACTGGCTTCCACGGACTTCGCTCTTACGATCGTCCGCTTACGACAGTCACGCAATCGTAAACGCTCGAGGATACTCTTTTTCTTCCTATTCATAATGCAATAGTGTTTACGCATACTATTTCAATTGCACGCTTGCTGTCCTCCGATGTCGTAATGAGTTTTTGTTAAATCATTTTTCTATCATAGTTGGGGTTGAAACATCATAAAATGATAAGATTAAAAAAGATATTACTCAGTAACCAGGTGGTCAATAATCTAAAAAAAACTTTATATGCTTTATTATAGTCGACATTCGATTCGGCATATTTTCCCAGTATTTATCGATCAACTGCAATAAAAGTGAACGAAATACATTTTTCAGCATTATTCCAATATATGATTAATGAATTTTAACTAACGATATCTGGTGGATCGATTTTCGCCAGGATTTCGCACATATCCTTCACTACTTACATCAGTCTTGTGCAAAATTTCAATTTTCAATGTTCTTGATTGAGTAACATCTACCTTAAAGCTAGTTTCCAAACTATAGACCGAGGTACCTTAAAATTGCATCTCCCCTTGGATCTGTTCCCAATTTTAATAATTCACCACGTCTAAAAGTTTCGTGAAAACGACTCGCGGAACTCGATCTTCCTCCCCAGTTCCATTCATTCATTTACCGGCCTGGGTTCGAGCAAACTGAGCTCCTAATGGACCTAATGTATCGTAAAGTTGGAGATACGTAATTCATTGGGAAGTTGAGAGGAAAAGTACGGGGAAACGAAGTTAAGAAGTTTGCCCTCGAATCTAACGATCTATCTTTTACTCGGTTAAAAGTGTCGACCACCTTTTACTATTACTTTGTAAACCGAGATATCAATCTTTCACCACATACTCTTCGTTGAAAACGGTTTTCTATTGGTACATGTTAGTATCGGATAGCATGGCGGTTGATCTGACCGCTTGCGGCCAATGGCCGGACGAATTCGTCATCCCAAAGGTTTCGCGGCGAGGTGGAGAGAAGAGACCGAGGAGGAAAGACTCGTCTTCGCGGTGAACCGAACGAACGTCGCGCGCATACATGAATCAACATATATATACGATATCTTCAGAATAGGACATAGGTCTGAACGACGACGTGGCGGACATTGCCTGTACCTGTCTCCACGTATCGAAGTCTGCTTGCTCACCTGCATTCCACCAACAGGGGCCCAAGGGGGGACCTTCCAAGACTCTCAGGCCCGTACTACCTCGTGAAACCCTTTTGGATTCTTTAGACCAAAAGAAAAAAAAGGAGGGATTGTAAATTTGATATAGACGACGTTGTAAAATGGACAATAAACTCTTTGCCTCTGTATACGTCTAGCAATAATCCTAATCTCAATGCTAATTCTTGTACAATGCCAGAAGAAGGATTTCTGTTTTAATATTATATTAGGAAGGATATATAAAATATTCCGAATGTTGCAATAAGAGCTGAGGTTTAATTATTCTCTTAATGAGAAAGATGAAAATGTTTCCACGTGGAGGAACGGTATACGGCCCTATCTAGAATACCTGGAGAGTTGGCGAGGGCGTAGGTCTGAATCAGCAGGATCACCGGACGGAGAAGGATACGAGAAAAGGCGAGAAGCGAAAGCATCGCTCTCTGGAGTACCACTTAATTTCCCCGATCCGTCCAGAATCCGCTCGAAATTCATGGTTTACGTGCATCGCGCGCTCGAGTGGAACATTAATTATCGCTTAACAGCCGCTGCTTCCTTTCAACCAGGGATCGTTGTCGTTTTTGTTCGCGAAAAAAGTTAATCGATCGGTCACGTTAATTTCATACTCGCTCGTTGTGGATAAAATCCCGCCAGCTACCTTCCTGGCTGTTTGAATTCGTATGAAGAACCTATGTAATCATATCTAGAATTCTCGCAGTTCTCACAGTTATTCGTTCGTCTCCAGAGTTTCTAGCTCAACGCTTTGTTTCGTTTCGATCAATTAATGCCACTTAGCTCTGTTGCCCGACTTAACTTCGCGTCAAATTGACTTCTGGAGATAACGTGTGACCGTCGATGCAAATTCTGGCATCGTACGAATCGCGTTCGAATAGAAGCGAAGGCGAGGCGAGGCGAATCGAAGCGTGTAGCTTGCATTCCGACGAGGTGAAGGGGCCACGCGGCGAGAAGTCGGGCCTGTAGGGCCCCCAATGCGTTCGAGAACACGTCGGCCCTATGGCATGCGACCGTCCGCCGAGCGGGGTCATGGGAAGTTAAGTATACTTACGTATATAATGTATACTGCTCGGTTTCCCGGCCACTTCAGAAGTGAACTTCAGAAACTGATGCAACGCCCGGCTTAATTGGATCCCGCGTTACTCTACCGAGCCGATCAGCTTCGATGGCTCTTCAACCCTTTCCATAGTCTAGCCTGTTATTCGATGCCAGATGCTTATTAAAGAATTGTCCACTTCAACCTGTCTCAAGTTTATTAATAAGATTTAACGGGACCGAGATTTTTATCAGAATTATATACAGTAATCTCTGGATGTATAACTATATTATCCTCCGGATATATGGCCGCAAGTCATCTCCACCAATTCTTGGGTGGAGCCTTATTTATGTTCACTTTTCTTTTCTGTATTTCGTCTTTTCTGAAAAACCAGTTTCATACTCATGACGATTACGCAGGAATTATTGGAGTTAAAATAAAACTGTATAAAACCTCATTCGTAGTGCCTATGACTTTCGTTAAAACATTTTTCGGTAGGATAAACAATTAACAAGTTGTTAAAGATAAACTGCTGCTCTGTAAAATAAAAAAAACTATGAAATTCTAGACTGAGGATTCTTTTGTTGTTGCGCTCATGCGGTCGACACTCTTTACTTTTATGTGATATACTGTTTTGTGTGGTTTATTGTTTATATGATGTATCACACAGATATCGACGCGTGTATGAATACATAGTAAACCTATAGCGAATTGCATGTTGTTTTATGTTTCAGGAAACTGGGCCTGGACTTGGTACCCCGTCAGGGTGCCCATATGGTGGACCCGGATACTATGTCAGTCGTTGAACTCTATCACGTGGTAATTACAATGCACCAATTTTACCGAAATACGGCAGTGAATAGAACGGGAGAGATAGGGAACGAGAAATGAAGTTTCATACTCGGCTATATGAAGCTCATTGAAATTCTATTCAGAGTGTTGACCATTTCGAATAGCCCGCAAGAATTGAAATGAACCGAGCTCTTCGGGATATTACTTATTCCGTGCACGAGCGCACGACATGAAATTTTTAATGTCTGTTCGATCGAAATTCCTATATTTGTAATGCACTGCGTTCGGTTTCTATCTTCACCACGGCAGAAGATCGCGTAGCTTGAATACTAATCGAACCATCGCCACGATTCGTCGACCGATTCTTACTAAAGATTTGTAGAACCTGATTTCAAGCCTTTGATAAATCCGTCGTCGATTCTAGCACGTGCAAAGCGCAGAGAACTCTCAGGGAGCTTCGGCGAGAGGAACGCTCAGGCGGAAGGAACATAAGAAGATATTGACGCATCACCTGTATTTCTGCATGAGGGATTTCGGGCATTCGATTGGTGAAGATGCCGAGATCTATTTTTCTCTGTACGACGCGAAACGGAATCAATACCTGAGCGAACGTTTCCTGGTGCGAATCTCGAAGGAGGGTTTCTCTAGCTTTATCGAGAAGATACATAGCAATTGTACCATATTCACGGACTTGGGCAACTCGGACCTTAGCAGAGATCTGTACATGGTAGCGCACGTGATGCGATGCGGGAGGATGCTCTACTCTGATTCCGGTAAAAACAAAACCGGGACTGCGACTTATAGGAGACCTCATGGCGTAGCTGTACTGTCCCTCGCGGAAGCTACGCAAGACCACGAGGAACACGAAATGACGTTCAAGGTGACAATTATTCAATTCTATTAATTTGAGAGTATCGGCAATTCAATGTAAAAATAGGGTAGATCTACCATTTATTCCAATACACATTACTAACGAAAATTATGGCATCACGAAATTTGTCCCAAAAATTGTCCAAGTTTGGGAGATGATTAATTAACAACAGATTAGCATAGGATGATGAATTTTCTTTTAAATTAAAGATAGAAGCCTCTATTTTAAAATATCATACAGAGATTTTTAATTTAATACAATCAGGGTGGGCCGGATTGATGACCCCCGCTTCAATAGTCGGAGAATTAAACGATTATACAATTTCTATTTGAAATGCATTTTTCAGCTGATACCAGGAATGGTTCATTTTACTTAATTATCCGAATTACTGTAGGTGTATCAGGGCGAAGAAAAGGACTTTCACCAGTTGCACGAGCAGATAATCCGCAACAACAAGTGTTCCCCACTTCCGGGCCAACCTAATTACGGAATAGTGGTTTCGCTGCGTGTTCTCCACGGCGAGTTGTCGCAAGTGCGGGAGGAGAATCCCCTGCTCTTCAAGAATATCTGTCTAACGAGGAAACTTGGCTTCTCCGACGTGATCATGCCTGGCGACGTGCGGAACGACTTGTACCTGAAATTGGAACGCGGCGAGTTCGAGCGCGGTGGAAAATCCACTGGCAAGAACATCGAGGTACTTGGCTACTCTCGCTTCTTTAATAACTATTCCCTAAATCAGATAGATACAAATTTCGTTTCGCGTTTCCAGGTAACTATTTTAGTGCTGGACGCGGAAGGACAACCGTTGGAAGGATGTTTGTTCGGTGCGGCTGGCATGGAAAGCAGTTCAGAGTACCAAAGTTTAGTCATATATCATCACAACAGTCCCTCGTGGGCAGAGACCGTTCGATTAGCTATACCTATAGACAAGTTTTACAGTAGCCACGTTCGCTTCGAGTTTCGTCACTGTTCCAGTAAGTCATTTAACGATTCATGTTCCAATATCAATTTCTTAAATGTTTCTTCTTTTTGTACGATTTTTTTTAATGTTTTTTTAGCACGAGAGAAGAACGATAAGAAGCTTTTCTCCTTCGCTTTCGTGCGTCTGATGGAACCCGGCGGTGCCACGCTTCAGGACGGTCCACACGAGTTATACATTTATAAATGCGAGGACCGGACTAAACTAGACTCGCTAAGTTACCTTTCACTACCTAGCAGCGCCCGGGAACCGAACGTAACCGGTAAAATTCCAGTAATTTATTTTTTAAATTCATATTTGTATCATTCATTATTAGTATCTTGAATTTGTCATACTTCTCTTGTTTTTTTTTGTATATTCTAAAGAGCTTATATTCATTAATAAAAATAATAACATTTCTGTCCTTAGGTACGGCAGCGTTTTCGAGATCCCCGAAAGAAGCAGTGTTCGTGCACACTTTGCTTTGCAGCACAAAATTAACCCAGAACGTCGATCTCCTCAGCCTGTTACAATGGAAAGCTCATCCCGAGAGGATCTCCGAAGCCCTGGGTCGCGTGCTACGCCTCGACGGCGAGGAACTCGTCAAGTTCCTGCAGGATATTTTAGACGCGCTCTTTTCAATGTTCCATACAGAGGATGGAAACTCGACGGCTCACTCGGGCCTGGTCTTCCAAGTGCTCGTATCGATCTTCAGTCTGCTCGAGGATTCCAAGTTTGAGCATTTCAAACCGGTGATGGACGCTTACATCTCCGGCCACTTTGCCGCAGCCCTCGTATACAAAGGGTTGCTCAGCAGCGTGCAACATTGCGCGGATTGGGTGACTGCGGCGGAGAAACAGGAGCCGATAATCAAGTGTTTCTGCTCGCTGGAGTACATCTTCAAATTCATTATCCAGAGCCGTTTGTTATTCGCTAGGGCGACCGCTGGCCAATACGAGGACAGCTTCAAACGGGACTTGTACTGCGTATTCGCTGCGCTGAACAAGATGCTGGGCATTCCATACGAAATGGTACTTCACTCTCAAATAGCTTTGCTATATTCGATCTCGGCTGTTTTCGAACAGTTAGTCGCGGTACTGCCGGTCCTTGAAGTAGCGAAACTTACTTGTACGATGCTAGACTCCGTACCCCGAGAACCACCGTTGCAACTCACGCAAGCTAAGCTAACGGCTATTAAGAATCTAACGACTTCCACGTTGTTCCAAGAAGACGATGAGAGCAGGAATTTGTTGCTAGTCACCATGTGTCGACACCTGAGGATACACCTAGTCAGACGCGAGGAACTTCGTTCCTGCACCGAGATCCTCGGTGAAATCTTGAGCTTCCTGCACAAGAGGGGACGGGATACGAACAAAGTGAACAACTGCATCCATCATGACGTCGAAACCCTCTGCCTCTCCATTCTAGATGTGCTGATACAGACAATTCTGATCGTGATAAACACCAGCGGCCCGGTTCTCGGCTGCTTGGTGGCTTGCTTGATAGGACTGCTTCAGCTTCTTGACGAATATCATTATGCTCGACTTTGGGAGGAGCTGACGCACGCTGGCGAACGCAAACCTTTGAAGGATTTCCTTTTGAGAGTGTTTCTCGTCCTCCGCGATCTTGTCAGGCAAGAAGTCTTCCCACCCGACTGGCTGGTGATTCGAATGCAAGCGAACAACGTGATACTCAAGTCTCTTCAGGAGCTCGCCCAACCACTGGCTTTCCGTTTCTTGCACGGCAGTTTCGACTCGCAGCTCTGGTCGACGTACTTCAACCTAGCAGTAGCCTATCTTACACAACCGTCTCTGCAACTCGAGCAGTTCTCCGAAGTGAAGAGGGAGAAAATCGTCGAGAAGTACGGGGACATGAGAGTATTGATGGGCTTTCAAATCCTTTCGATGTGGTCCTATCTTAACGATCGAAAATTAGAATTCATTCCTGGGATGGTCGGACCATTCCTGGAGGTCACTCTAGTCCCTGAGAGCGAACTGAGGAAAGCGACATTGCACATCTTCTTTGATATGATGGAATGCGAACAAAGGGCTCGAGGTAGCTTCAAATCCGTCGAGTCCGAGCTGATCGACAAGCTGGATATCTTGATCAGTGAAAACAAAGGCGACGACGAGTACAGGCGGTTGTTCAATACAATGTGAGTATCTTCCCTCTTTTCTCTATCTTCATTATCTTTGTATATAATGTGTCTTATTTCATGCTGCATTAGGGAGCATCTTAGCGCTGTGTAAGTTCGAGAGTGAATTATTACATATTTTTGAACATATGAAGAGATCGCGTTCTATTTCTGTCTGTAGATTATTGGATAGGGTTCAATCGGAGGATCCAGCATGGAAGGACAGCGGAACCGCTTTCATCACGTCAATTACGCGTTTGCTGGAAAGGCTATTGGATTACAGGAGCGTGATACAGGGGGACGAGAACCGAGACAAACGAATGTCGTGCACCGTTAATTTATTGGTGCGTAAAATATAACATACTAAGTATTGACGCTGACGAAAATTTTTTTTTTCAAAATATCGAAAATTTTTAATAAAAAATAGTGCACTTTTCATCTAATTTCCATATTTAATGAGTTACAT